GTATTTGTATTATTTTTGTGTATCATAAATAAGTTGTACAAGTTGTAGGCCTGTAGCAGCCATTCAGTCACTGACATTATCAATGGAAGTAGCTTGTAAACTAAACTAGATTATCACTAAAATAAGAATTACTTTCCCTGAACATGATTATTTGTCAGTCTGAAATATAAAACACGTCTGCGATCGCAGTATCGCTAATAAAACTGCTGTAGTAGCTGCAGTTCTTCAAAAAATGTGGATCAAGATGAAGAAAAAACTAGCTTCGACCTCCATTGTTAGTTCTTGAAGCGTGAACATGGTCGCTAGGTGACCACACTCACGCCAGGTAAGAGCGGGAATGAAAGCCGAAGGCTAGACCGTCCAAATTCACAGCGACTTTCTTCCGGTCTTCCCGGTCTACTAAGGACCCGGCCCACCTCGACGGGGTAGGCTGGGTCCTTTGGAGGACGCGGCCTGCCGTTTTGGACACACCCAAAATATGGTTTTGTCCCCATTTTGGATGAGAATGGTTTATATTAAATATGAGCCACAGCTAACTGTCACCTGTTTGAGTTAGCAGGAACTGAGCCTCAGTGGCTCTTTTTGGACTCTGAGATATAAAAAGATTACATGTTGTCATGTGTTTCACTGTTTCCTTGTCTCCTCCGCAGATAAGCCAGACTGTCAGATGTATGGCTGGCACTGTAATTCAGAATTAGACACATTCTCCTAATGTTTCTAAACGGCCCAACAAAATATTAGTGTGACCGTTTTTTTGGCCAGAGTGTAATAAATGAATAAAAGTAGCATCATGTTATTAGACTTGTATATTGTTATTATGTCCATATTAATTGAGTTATTAGCAAAGTTTGCACACGTGAACTAGTAATATCTGGGGTCTCAAGTTTCTGCAACTCTTATTTTTTTGGGGTCAGAAGCTTAAAAAGTTTGAAAACCACTGGTTTAACAGATCACACAAAATCATTGGAATATCATAGGAAGGGCCGCTATTAGGGGAGTCATCCTGTAGTGTGAGAGTTGGCAGTTCGATTCCCCTATTCAGTCACATGTGGAAGTGTCCCTGGGCAAGACTCTGAACTCTCACTGCCTCTGATGTGTCTCATCAGTGAATGAATGTGATTTAAAGCACTAATTAGTCTCTATCAAAGAGGTTCTATAGAACAGCTGGAGTGCGCAAAAACCAGGTGACCGTGTGATCGGCTGGTGAAGCTAATGGCTAACACTAGATGGTCAAGACTCTGGATTTCCCATTACTGTACATGTTGACAACAGAGCAGAAAAAAGGACTGACCATGTAGAAATCATTAAAACTATTAACATGTAACATGTTTGTTTGGATAATGGTTGGATGTTGGTTGGATGATGGTTGAATGTTGGTTGGATAATGATTGAATGTTGGTTGGATAATGGTTGGATGGTGGTTGGATGGTGGTTGGATAATGGTTGAATGTTGGTTGGATAATGGTTGAATGTTGGTTGGATAATGGTTGAATGTTGGTTGGATAATGGTTGAATGGTGGTTGGATGATGGTTGAATGTTGGTTGGATAATGGTTGGATGTTGGTTGGATGATGGTTGAATGTTGGTTGGATAATGATTGAATGTTGGTTGGATAATGGTTGGATGGTGGTTGGATGGTGGTTGGATAATGGTTGAATGTTGGTTGGATAATGGTTGAATGTTGGTTGGATAATGGTTGAATGTTGGTTGGATAATGGTTGGATGGTGGTTGGATGATGGTTGGATGGTG